AGCTCACCTAATCAAAAAAATTAGGGCGCATGTATGTCTGAACAACATACAGAACACTCAAAATCAACAAGCTGGAATATACCAACATACCCACAAAACAGCAATTCATGTATTTCACTCCTCTTTTCAAGTGTTTTTTTTTTTTAATCTATATTTTTAATAGTATAAGGACATATTACTGGTGCCTTGAGGCATTAAGGCCGTAGATTTAAATCCATCCCTGAAAAAATTTCATGCTAGCAGCGCACACCAAAAAGTGTGTGCTTCAGAAGACAGCCTAAGGGAACGGGTGGTAAAGCAGAAGAGAGAACCTGGCAATTCTTGAAAGATACCGGATTTTTACCACATTATTCTGATTCCTATCTTCCTTTCCCAGCCTATACATGCTCTGCTTCCAGCATTATAGGAGCGTTATCATCTAAAAGTTTAGATACCCTGTCATAAGTAGGATACAGATGCTTAAACAAACAGATCTTTCACACTCTATAAAGGATTCATCTTTGTCTTCAGGTAAGTTGCAAAAACAGCGTAAGGACTGAAGCAAGAGAAAAATGCTGCAAACTGCATGCATCTAAACGGGTTGGATTAAGTGACACTACTTAAAAGAAAAAGCCACAAAGTAATTCCAGATTTTTACTCAACATTTTTCATGGAAGAAAGTCAGCCAGTTCATCCTTGCTGTGCTTAAGACTGAAGAAAAAAAACCCTCCAAGAACACCACTCATACACAGGCAAGCATCCTAGACATTTCAGCTCCATCGTCCGATTGCCTGCTTTTTTTTTTGTCATTCAGCAATATCCTTCTTTTGCCTCTATAGTCTATTGTAAAATCTTAATACAAGCATACCTACAGTTTTCACTTCTGGGTGTATTTTTTTGTCATCAGTATATGATTTCATTTATGTATTTTGATCAAACTTTGATTTCCATACCTTGGCTCATAAGCTCCAATAGGGATGGCTGCAAGATCAAAAGGTCCAAACCTTTTACCTATCTGTTCAAAAGCAACACAATATCCAGTATCTCCTGAAAAGAAAAACCTATTCCAAGGTCCCAAGACAGACCAGCTGCCCCAAAGAACCTTGTTATCATCTGTCGCAGTCCTTTTGCACCAATGTTGAGAAGGGGTGAAGACAAAAGTTACCGCATCGTGACCAGGGACGCAGTTCTCTTCCCACCAATCCAGTTCAATCACATTCTCACAACCACATCTCTGCATCCAGTCCAAGAGCCCTAGAGGCACAAACCAGCGCAGCTCACTCCCAAAGCGTTCGTTTAAACTCGTTACAGTGTTGTAGTCCAAATGATCATAATGGGTGTGGCTGATCATGACTGCATCTATTTTGGGGAGCTGCTCTACTGTGCACGGAGGTCCTCGGAAGCGCTTGGGACCCACCAGCTGAGTAGGGGAAGCTCGCTGGCTGAAGATTGGGTCAGTAAGAAATACAAGTTCATCCATTTCCACCATAACTGAGGCATGTCCCAACCACGTGACTCGCATACCAGTTCCTGTCTTCCCAGCAAGTTCCGGCTTTTGAACAAAGTAAGGTTTTAACACTGGAAGCTCTTTATCGAGTTCCTAGCAAAAAAGAACACAATATGCATGAGAGATTTCAGAATGTACTTGGCCATGGAACAAAAACTGCATACAAGGCACAAATTATTACAGTCAAGACTTGCATTTTGTTTATATTTTTAGGCAACCAGAGAACTGCAACACAAAACAGATGCCTTTTCAACGACCATTTTCCCAGCTACTTCCTCCTAGTTTCATCTTAGGTTTTTGTAACGTTTCACTTCTCTGTCAAGAGAGAAAAGAGAGAGCTCAAGAGTATCCCATCAGGCCAGGAGACTTACTAACAGAGAAAGAGAATCTGAAAGCATTGCAATGAAAGCACTGCAAGGCACTAACAACATCCTGGGAAAGGCTTTGCAATCCGTTGGCCTTCCTGACCTGGAAAAGAATACATATATACACTGTTACTGTAACAAATGCTCAAGTTTAGCTTGTGCAACTGAATGATGCATCCCCTAAGTCCTAGCAGAAGTAAGTCACAAACCCACGGATGAAAGAGAATGCAACGTTCCCATCAGCATTCTGCAAAAGCTCTGTTCTATTAGCCTTTAGCAGACCCTCTCTCTATTTACGTATAGAAGCAGCACATAGAGGTTAACCTCACTTGGCTAATGTTAGCTTTTACCATACTCTCTTTCTGTCCTGCCAGTAATTCAATGAACTTTTGTAAAACACAAACTAAAACTCAGATCTCATTTTTAAGACGGTCCTTTAGGCACTTAGCTATGGTTCTCATGATGCTTTAATGAAGCCTTCTAGGTAATTAAAGTTTAATTATTACTGAATAAATCACTATACTGATCTCCCTGTATGTTCAGGATGCAGTCCCATGAATGACTCAAATCAACCTAAATCTATACTGTGTAACAAAGTTATGGAAACCTTCCCCCACCTGCCCTCTTGTTCCAGCCTCAATGCTTATGCACTCCCCACTCAAGCCTGACAGGTCAGAGAACTGATCAAGCTGAACATTAATCCAGAGGAGGAAAATAGCTTTCAGCTCAATCTGCTTCCAAATTTGACTCTATGTGCAGCATCAAGAGGACAGCTGGCACAAAGGAGGCTGTGGCTGTACATTATCTACTGAAACTCATCATCAAACCACTCACTTTGAACAGGAGTTACATTCTTTCACTGCAGTTTGGTTGAGATGCTTATGCAGAAGCTTTATTTGTAATGAATAAAGAGTTTTCCTATTAAAAAAGACAACCAAACAAAAAGTCTTTTCAGGGCTCCTGACCATCTCCAGCTCTGCCACAGTGTGGCTAAGGCACTCCTCACAAACAGTTCTGGTCTGAACTCCTCACATCACTTCAGGAGAATTTTCCTATGTTAGGCACCTTCTACAGACTCCTGACACTCTTCTCTCCCTGGTAATCACAGATGTCCCAGCACTTCTGGTTGTAGTCAGAGTCTCCCTATCATAGTTGCTGCTCCCATTCTCTAGGTCTAGGATAGTAGATTAGTGCTGTCAGTGAGCTTATATAGAGCTAACCTCCTGCTCCCTTAAAAGCCCAGCTGATGCTGTGACAGTTTAGGAGCCTAGGATTTCCCTTGCTAAAACAGTCCCGACAGCTTCAGGAAAATTACTTTCTCCACAATATTTTATTGATTTGGAGCGCATATGTTGGGAAAAAACAAACACACACAACCCCAACCCCCTGCAATCCTACTGTAAGTAACAAAATATTAATGAAACTGCTTTTTCTGAGAGCTAATGGACAAGACATGTCTACTGAAAAAGTTTCATTACTGTCTCCAGGAACGAGAAATAGATAACCTTCTATAGAGCTAAATATAAGGTTAGTACAATACTATCACTTAATTCATACAAGAATAAACAAAGTATGAGTATTAGACTGAGACAAACTGCTGCTTCTCCAAGAAAGAAACATCACTTTCTCATCTCTACTTCATTCTAAGTACACGGGAACGACACTGACAGGAGAAATCTGAACCACAGAGAGTGTTATATTCTGACACTTCAATTAAAAAAAAAAAAAGAGTGGAAGATCCACAAAACTAACATAAAACTCAAAAATGGAAATTAGGACAACCCACCAAATTACACATGGTTAAGTCAACAAATCAGATTATATCAAGGAAATTAAGCTCAGATATGGAATTCAATAATTAATTGTCATAATGCAATTTAGGTCAGTAAGTACATTTTTTATGGAAAATGTTCTTTCTAAGTAGTTGTTTTTAAAGGTAGACTACAAATTATACTGAGAACTCTAACTGAATCCACTTTATTTTTGCTGACATTTGACACAAACTAGTTTTTAAAATTAGTATCATGCAATATCAACAAACAATACTAAATGGATTAAGAACTGGCTAATTGGCAGATGTGAACAACGAGTTCTTAACTGGGACTTAAACATATTGTACTGGTTTTGGCTGGGATAGAGTTAATTTTCTTCCTAGCAGCTCATGGTGCCATGTTTTGGATTTGTGACCAAAACAGTATTGATAACAGACTGATGTTTTCATTATTGCTGAGCAGTGCTTACACGGAGTCAAGGTCTCCGCCTCTCACAGCACCAAATTTTTCATTGCCCAAAAGACCCAAGGGAGGAAGGCAAAAACTGTCAGGACTGCAAGGGAAGTCCAAACTGCATCTACATCAATTTGCTCTGACTTTCATCAATCGGGGTCTAACAGCCCACTGACCTGCCTCTTTAGTTCTTTCTCACAACACACTGTTCACTCTCGAACTTTTTCCACAGACCACTCCTTCATTGGCTGTGTTCATAGTACAGTAGAGTTCGACGATAAGCAGATTCCAAAGTGATCAAATTTTATTTAAGAAAAAAAAACCACCACCTTTTTTTTTTCTTTCTTTAATTCTCTCTCATTCCAGCAACCTTGTTTACAGCGCAATCCCACAAACAGTTGTACTGGTACTAGTCAAGAGTCAACAAACAGAGTCACACAGCCAAGAATGACTGAATGGCGTTTCTCTGTATGTCAGCTTTGTCACGGAAGGAATTATATTGTGTAACTATGCCCTCTAGATGTCTCCTCCTCCGCTTCTGTGAATTTGCACAAGAAGTTGGGAGAGGACACAGCTAAGACAGCTGACCCCAACTGACCAAAGGGATATTCTGTGCCATATGACATCATGCTCAGCATATAAAGCCAGGGGAAGAAGGAGGAAGGGGGGACGTTCGGAGTGATGGCGTTTGTCTTCCCAAGTAACCGTTACGCGTGATGGAGCCCTGCTTTCCTGGAGATGGCTGAACACCTGCCTGCCGGTGGGAAGGAGTGAATGAATTCCTTGCTTTGCTTTACCTGTTAAACTGCCTTTATCTCAACCCATGAGTTTTCGCACTTTTGCCCTTCAATTCTCTCCCCCATCTTGCTGCAGGGGGAGTGAGCATGGGGCCGAGCTGCCTGCTAGGGTTAAACCACAACACGTTTGCACTATTAAAGGCTTTACAGGGATGTCACTAGGACCGACACTATTAAATATTTTGAACAATTTTGATTTAAAGGTAAAACTAATGACCATAAAAGGCATTTGTAAAGAACACGTAGACAGGAAGATTGATAAATAAAGGGTAGCACAGTTCGAACAACTAGTATCCTAACCTATTTAAACAAAATTCTGTGAACAAAAATTCAAGGCAAACCAAGAGCACAAAGGCAGTGTAACTGGGAAAGCACTGGCTCTGTATGAGATCTACAGGTTTGTGATACACAGGCATCTGATCCCAATCAGTGATTCCTCGGGGGATGAGATCAGAAATCAGGCATTATTTTGAGCTGTCATAGTAAATCACACAGGGAAATAGCTAAAGAAATTACTTCTCAGTGCATGGGTTTTGGGTTTGGGGATTTTTGTGGTTTGTTTTTTTTTTTGTTGGTTTGGGGTTTTTTTTTTAGTACACTAAAATCCCCAAAATTACCTTTTAAAGCAATAAGGACTCATAACTCACAAGATTTCAAATCAAAACGCAAGTTCTATTGGCAGTATACTTCATATGAAATTCTTAAAACTCACACAATGGGATAAAACAACATAATGAACAAAATACATACTCTTATGGACTCTTTATCCTGCTATAGTACCTGTTGTTCTGTCAGACTAACCAGAAACATATTAATACTACAACAATTATAACAGATCTTTGAAATATGGCATTAATGTCAAATCAGCTACCAATATAAGCGAAATGTGCATAATACTGTCTTATCTTCATCACTGGAGTAATACAAAAATTCCTCCTGCTGTGCCCCTTCCTCCCTCCCATGTTCTTCTTTCCTTCCTAACGCAAAGCAAGAAGAAACACATGACAGGCTTTGGTAAGACTAGCTAATTAGCTTAGGATTTTTGGCGCTTAGTGCATACTGGAATGCCACTGGATTTTACAGAAATGAGAACAATCTAAATTGTTGAACCAACAACTAATAATTAAAGACACTTCAATGGCACTGAAAAAAGTTAGTAATAAAGCCTGTAATGAAAGTACAAAAAGTCTATGCATTCTGGATAATGATAGAGGCTTGTTGTGAAGGCATGATTATAATACATATAGCTTTCACACACTGAAGTACATATCTTGGATAATATGTTTTGGTTTTTTTTTTTTTTTAAAACATATGCAAAGCACAAAGCACTTGGTACAGATAAACTGAACCTGCCCAGCATAGCAGGGTACCACTAGGCCCACTCAATGTGGAAATTGAAGTAGGAGTCTGCTCGAAGGATATGCTATCTAGCAGTGCTAAATAATGGAGCCCTTAGTTTGAATTTTAAACAAGCTCAGAAGGGCTTTACAGGTTGATTTAGGTGTGGAGCACACATAGCTGGAACAAGCATCGAAATGGCTGAGGACCCAAGAAGTGCATTTCATTGATTCCTATCTAGGTTTTTCTATTTCTGATTTACTTCACTGAGCTCCTGAATAATTGCAGGCACTTCATTAAAAAATTTCAGATGCAAAGCAATAAAATTAGTCCAAAATGAATCCCAAGTGGGTCAGAGGGAGAGCTTTACAACTAGTACAGTGTAGATTTCTTTGTAATCATCCTTTATGGCAGGCATAATCTGTAAATTAAAGGGCAGTGCTGCAGTTCTCCACTGCCATTCGAGCTGTATATTCTGCACTCTGTAGTACACCTTAGCGCTGCCTTCTAGGTACTTCAGTCACTAACCAGGTTTCTGGCAAAATACAAAGCCTACTGTACACATACAGAAAAGGACAACAGTCAAAGGCAACTGAAAAAGCCAAGGTGTGAATTTTACACAAAAATGTGGCCAAAGTGTCATAATGCAGCAAGCTATACACACTAAGTGAGACACAACCACTGTTACTACTACAAGGTGCAATGTCTAGAAGCAAGACACCAAATTTAAAACAGTAAATTGCTGGAAGTGATCCCAAGACCAAAATAGATTTGTTGTGCTTCTTTCTGAATTCATATTGTTATTATTATAGAACAATTACAGCCAAGATTCTTTCTCCCTTAAACATGTTTCATGCCACATATCCTTAAAAAGATCCCCAAACCTCTGACCACGTGTTAATAAGTAACACGGCCTTCCTGTCTGTAAAGCTGATCAAATTCCTTCCTTCACAGTTAAATCACATAAGATAAAAATGAAAAGTGTAAGCTCTTTGCTAAATACCAATTGTCAGATTTATAGCTTATGCTTGCCTTCTTGGATGCTCAAAAGCATTAACACCTATTTGTCCAAAAATGCTTTTCCTGGTTGCGCACCCTTCAGCACAGCTTTTCTGAAGTGCAGTCAACACATTAGAAAATACACTGAGAATTAATCCTAACTGTCAAAACTGTAACCATCATAACACTTGTTGCGGCCACAAAGATAACTCGTGGCCTTCCAGTATCCATTACTCTTCATGGAAGAGAAGCTTCTCTCAGAGGTTGCTTCCCCTGCCTCCTTCTTTATATACGGTATCTGACAGAAGCAATACACCAAGAACAAATAATGGTGTTTCCCAGTAAACTGGCACTGTACCTTCAGTATTTCAGTACAAATACTTGCTCAGGTTAGTTTTAACATATGCAATTTTTTCTCCTGCTGTACTGAAACAGAAAAACATAGATTTGCAAACACTTCTGTAAGTAAGTGACAGCAACTATTTATTACATTTTTATGAAAAAGATGTAACATATGTAGTAAACGGCAGTCTGGAAGAAAAAAAAAGGCAAAATTTTAAAAGTGAGATATGCCACAGCTGTTTCATCCAATATGAATGATGTTAGCAGTATGCTTCATAAGGCAACACCTATTAAAAAGGAAAGAGTGTAACTGTAGTTTATGACTGAGGTAGGGGGCCATTTTTGTTGCTTTTGTAAATATAAACTGAGCTGGATGAATCAAAGGGTGTGGAACTAACAAAAAGGAGACAAAAAAATTTAAGAGGCAGAAAGTAGTAACCCACCTTTTGAAAAGAACAAAGTGATAACAACAATTTGAAAAACAACACTTAGAAAAGTCTCCAAAAGATGCCTAGTAAGTGTTAGTTAGAAACTGTCCTATTTTATTGATTAGAGCAGAAGTAAAAGTAGTCTAAATCAAGAACAGAAAACATGCAAGTATTTACCTGCTTTGAGCATGGCACGTTGCTGTTATTTTTTTCCATGAGGGACCATTTCAAAATATTTGGCAAGGTTGGCGACTTCCATGTTGGCCACGGGTTGACAAATTTCCCATCTTTGCCTCTCTTTGATTTAGTGACATCCTCTTCTAATCTGTAGTCCAGCCTGAAGCTTTTCCTCGAGGTCCTGGAAGAATCGCTGCCCCTGGAACCTCGACCTGAATTCTGACGTTTCCTCACCGCTTCTTTAGGGTACTGGTTACACGCAGTCAAAGGCTGCTCTTCACCCATTTTCTTATCCATATCTTTTTGAGGAGAACTAAAATAAATTTTAAATTAATTAATCTTTTCTTGGACTAACATCAAGATTCATAAGATCGAATGTTCGCACACACATTAGAAACAAGCCTGCCCTTCTCATTTTATGATCTACTGTATTTTTTCCCCTCAACAAAATAGCTTTTAAAACAGTTGCTATTACACAAAAGACTTCAAAAACATGCTGTGGCAAGTAGACATGAGATCTCTTTGTAGTTCAGACAGAGTTTTACTCACCGGTATGCACAGCTTCAGATACTAAAACTATTATCTACCAACTGCAAGAGTGAGGGGGAAGGGTTCCTTAATTTACATTTTGGAAGAATAGTAAGTTCCTCCTGAAACTTATGACATTTAGTGCCTGATGTAATACGATCCTGCAAACCTGTCCAAGAGACACTGAAACTATACAGTACCTTAGGATTTGCCTATATGGTAACTTTGTTTTGTAGTAAAAGCAGCAGCCTCACATAGCATTAATAACACATTACTTCTACCGACAAGATGCACATACATGCAGAAGAGTCAGAACACAGAAGACGTTTGGGCCTATTTCCTATTTTGTCCAAAACCAAGGAAAAGCTTATCGTAATAACAGTAAAAGTAACTGTTTCAAATACAGTTTTGATACAAATTTAACTGAGCTGACTAGTGAAAGGCCACAGAAAATTGGAACATCACAAATAAATCATGGCTGCAATGTCTGTTCTTAATTCCATTGTGAAATGCAAAGAAGTGAGAAAATAACCGAGACAAGCTTATTTCTATAAAGTCACAATTCTGGCACATTTCTTAGAAAACTGCGAACTCTGTAGTCAGAGTCTCTTATTCCAAACTGCACTTAAGTGTTCCAGAGTTTAGGAATAGGGAGTCTTATTGATCTCATAATATCCAAGATAGAAAAAAACAAATACCCCTATTTTATTTTAAAAGTTGCTGAAGCAATTCATTTGAAGCTAAATACTTCAGTTTCCATATTTACTTTCAACTGAAATGTTGAAAGTAAATGTACTGTTCTGACATTTTTTAAAAATAGGTTGCTATTTTAAAGAGTGCACAACTTTCTGGTACTTACAAGCTCTACCTGATAAAAACTCAAAGATGACTAGTAATGAACAGACAGCATGATACACTGCTTAGGTGCAGGAGTAATTTTTAATACCAAATTGTGAAGTTTGTCCTGTGGAAAAGTCTCCACCATGTGTTTTAGACTATCTACTGTTTCATTAACTCAGATACTCAAACTTTGGCTGTATACTCATATGAGACGCACTGGCCTGATGTACCAAAGCCAGTCCACTCAAACAACATTTTCAGAGAACAGAATTAAAGCCCACAGGTTTCTTAGAAATTACTTCCTAAATGAGATATTTTCTAAGTAGCTGGGTATGCATAACTCACTATGCCCCTCATAAGTTCATAATTACCGGGGTGGGGGGGGGGAATATTTTCATTGCAACATTACAGCTAAGATTTTACACATGTGTGTGTGTTATCAAATTGAACCCAAATGCATTTACTGGTGATGCTCTAACTTCAAATGCAGAGCCTGTCCCTGCTATTTCAGCAGCAACTGATTACCAAACATAAAGTGTGGTGTCGGTTCCAAAGATATGACAATTGATAAATACTGTTAAATTTTCTTAACAAAACAACCATTATTTTGCCATAGAGTAGAGATAAAATATTAACACATCAAAATTCACTTCTGATAAAGCAGCATGAACAATGTTCAGAAAACATTGCTGATATATAATTTTTTGATAAATAGTACCCTTGGTCATAATCTTGTTTTAATGTAATTGCTTTGTACTCTAGTTTCCCTGTAGTTTTACTGAAACCACTCCATTTATGTCTTTTCTATTTAGCAATAATATACCACATCTGCATCATAATTTTAATTTAACTGGTTTTTAATTTAACTAGGCTTTTTTCTCTATTCCACTAAACATTTACTGGAATCAGCCTTCAATGGAACAGCCACCCAACTTGCTCTATACCATTTTAAGCAGACATAAATGGTAAAAAAAAGAATCAGTGACACAAAAAGGTAGACAGAAAACCCCAAAAATTGTAATGGATATTTTAACTGTTACTTTAACCTAAGAGGGGTTTGGCTTTTTTTTGGCATTCCTCAAAGAGCAAAGAGCATTTTCAATACCACATCAGCTTATTAATTTAGCAAAGCACGCAGACACAGCATAAAACATCTACTCTTCTAGAAAGCATCATGAAAACAAATCACAAAAGTTTAATCAGATAGGTACTTAATTCAAGGAAATTCTTCTGTTAACATCTCAGATGTCTGATTTTTAAATATATGTAACTACTGTAATTATTGTTCCTACAAGACATTTTATATTAGAGACCGGTGCCTAAGGTTTTATTTTTAAGCTTCTGTTTATCTATTCATTCATCTCTAAAATAGGTGGGTTCTACTTTTGCTTAAATTTTCATATAAACCTTTGATCTTATCCTGAAAGTATAAACCTCTAGGGGAAGTAGGGATCAACTATGCTGATTAAACAAAGACAATGTCAAAGCATTTAAGGCACTGCAGGTATCTGTCTACCAACATATTTTCCACATGATGCACATACATTACTTTCATTAGTATTCCATAAGCAACTGAAGGGATAAAAGACCTCAGTGCTCACAGAATACTTTAAACCCTTTTACATGCATAAGAAAGGGACACATTTACAAACAATTAACTGATGAAGTATTCCTGATGAACTGTAGATTCCTTTGAAGTATCAATCTTGCCAGTTCATTTCTGTTTCCTTTAAACTGGTAAAATATATCCTAGAATATTCATGGAATACAGTAAAAGAAATCTAATTTGACAATCATTTCTTGAAAGCCAGCAATCATCAGCTTAAAATAAAACTCAAGCAGTTATTAGCCCAAGGAGATTCTTACCCTTTTGCAAAAGAAAGCCTCTACAGACAAGGAGATTTGGCGGGTATATTTTAAATATTAGAAAATACCCAATCAGAAATGAGCTGATTTTTCATCCAGCTTTCCTGAATTCTTTCCCAAGAAAAATAATAGTTTGACACTCGAGAAATAAATTTAAGCACCAGATTGCCAGGCAAATTATGAGCGATAGAGACACCAAAATCAAACTGGAGTAAAGTAGTTGTGTTCACTTGGGAGGGGCAGGGGGAAGGGGTCATGTCCTCGGTGAGTATTTGTTATTGTACGGTTCCACAAGAAATCTTCTATTTTCCACACTTTTAAACAAAGAGGAAAACTACTATTCTACTTAAAAGCATTGACCTGCTTTCTTAACAAATGGAACCCATCCGTCAGGATGAGGTGACTTACCCCCAAACAAGGGCAAGTGGATTGCCACCATTTGTAAGAGGGGCTCAGGCAAGACGCAACCCAACCGCCCTCTCAGTGCTCAGAGGTGCTTTACTGCTTCAACTGAATTCAGAAAAGGAAATGGACCAAGACATACAAACTACTAAAGGAGGCCATTAGTCATGCCAAATCCACGAGGCCAGAAGGTACTCTAGACAGAGGGGAAGGACACCACTGCCTGATGAATAGGATGAAGCCTAACATGAATCAAAATGCGGAGCTCACATAACTGGTTTCCCAGCACCAAATACTAAGGAGCCCCTAGTAATCCACAAAGCAAGAGAGAAGTTGTAGATCAGGCAGGACATGGCATGGAAAACCCATGTCTTATGTCATGGTAAACAGGCTTACACCTGTAAACAGGATATAGCCCTTAGGACAACAGGTTTGGGGTCAATTGTTTATTTTAGCATTGCCTATTTAACTGAACTTGGATACAAACATTTTGGCTTTGAGTCTTCTGTTTATTTAGGAAAATAATTAAAAGTTTAGTTAAGCATTTTAATACCTTCTCTTTCTGTTCTAAAAGGTTGGAAACAGGATACGTTAATGTTACAGGAAGCACTCTGACATTAAAATTTTTCTTTTTAAATGATCTTTTAAACAGAGCAGAGCTTCAAGCCAAATTATTTTAACTTTATTTGAAGAAATGCATCAACATAAGATCTATTGTGTGAGTCTTCACCTTTTCCACCCAGTCTCCTCTAACATCCACTACTCTGTAACTGAAATGGATGTAGTTCCTCCTACTAAGCATACAGCCATGCTACAAACAGTAAAGTCTGCCAGAACAGATTTATCCTTCTTTTCTACACAGAAATGTGGTCCTTGTTTAACAAATTCATAAGCCAGAAAGTTTAAGAAAGAGTTACTATGAAGCTATAGTTTACTGGAACCCAACAACGCCCACAAAACTTCACACTTACCTTGCAAATATTCCATAGCTTTCCAAATATCCTTAGTTTTCTCTGTTTTTGAAGCAATGAGTTTGGTTCATTTCTAATTGCTGTCTCTCTGTACAGACTACATCCAGAACTGGGCTGCACTACACATCACCTAAAAGGGACAGCACACAATTCCTAGCAAACTCATTTGGTTTGTGTTTCATCATGCCACTGTAGCCTTATCAAAGCAAGAATCTGAGCTTTCTGCAAGTCATGTACTGCTACACAACTTGGAAGTCTTCTTTCAACATATGTATTTTTTAAGACTGCAAAAAGCACACTTGTGGGCTTGAAACAAACAACAAAAAAAAGTACTTTTTTTGAAAAAAGCCTCCCACCCGCTCAACTATCAAATGACTACCAGCTAAGTTTTGGCTGTGCTTTTATTTTTCCTTCAGGTCTGAAATTGTCTGCTTTAATTAATGAACAGTTTGAGACTGGAAAATTCTGAATGCATTTAAACTTTTATTGTGCAGTACTTCAGGCTGTTCATCATACCACTGTAGCCTTATCAAAGCAAGAACCTGAGCTTTCTGCAAACCATATACTGCTATGCGACTTGAAAGTTTTCTTTCACTATACATATTTTTTTAATGACTGCAACAGCAGTTGCAACAGCAATTATTCCAGACACTCTTGGTCTTAGGATTTCACACAAAGAAGAGCACTCAAGCTTGCAACTAGTTGATCTATAAATACTTTTATTATTTGAGATTTCCCATTAAAAGTCACAAGCAAGAACAAGCAGTGCAGAAATTTTCATTCAAATTATTTTATGTTTTAACAGCCAGCTTGGGATTCTGCATGATATCCTATTTCCATATTTTCTAAATACCCACAAAGAAAAAAATCCATGCTAGTACAGACTTCTTCCATCCTTGGATGCACCCATTTCATAGCACAGCTATAAGTTGCCAGCCCAGTTCTTCTCTGTTCTCAACAGATCTGTAAGTATCCTGACTCTACAGTGATCTTGTGTACTGTTAAAGAAAGATGAAAAACTGAGTTGATAACAGAAACAGAAATAGCTTTCTCCATAAACAACCTCATAGAATTAGGATGAATCCTTTGCTGTTCTTACCTAGTTTTGAGGATCAACAGTAAAACAAAGCAAAGTTTTATTTAGACATTACAGAGAAAAAAATTTTAGTTACAAATGAAACAAATGTGAAGCATCTACCCATGGTCGTCTGTTGTTACGCATATTCTTACAACAGCTGTATTTATAAGCAGCCATCACCATGAGCCAACCCATTTCTGCCCTCATTACTCCCTGAGGCTTGCCAAAACAAACATTTGTGTCCACATGGTGAATTAGTTCAAGAAACTGATCTAGCTGATAGTCACTTCTTACCTTCCCATCCCCTGGAGAAGTATTTATTTTTCACCTGCATCACTGTGTAACCATGCAAGTGTTTATACCAACAAACTGGCTAGGACAGGGAAGGGTAAGAACAGGAATATACTGTTGTAAGCAAAAACTGCTTATGCCAGTGCTGCTAGACAAAAAGTAATTTATTAAATAGGCTCCGTTTAGAGTTCTCTCAGTCACATACACCACCAAGTCAGGTTCAGCAATTCCCCCTACCCCTAAAATACTTCATTTTCAATCCATTCCCCATCCAAGGTTTCACATTTTAGTACTGATGCTGCTTAAACTCTCTGGCTGCCACCTCCAAGAGTGATGTTTCATGTTATAACCAAGCAAATTCAATAGCTACCTACCACCCAAAAGGCAGCCCACTCCTGTTACTACACATTCTGACCTCTACTTTCCTGGCATTCATCAGGGGAACTAAACCAACAGAAAGTTATTCATAGTCTTTACAAGTGCCTATCAGCTACACCCTTCTATGCCTCTGGATACAAAAGCAAATAGGCTTTAGAGTCAGGTCCATCAGTATTACCTGGAGCCAGCTATTTCTCAACCCTGAGTTAAATCTGATCAGCTATGGGCATTGTATTAACTGCATAAAGATGCCTCTTCCTGGAAGTGGGACGATACATAACTATTTTCCCTTTGTTTCCACGCACCCCAGCTGACTGTCCCTGTCCAATATGAGCACTTTGTAGTCCCCAAACATGTTTATGAACTGTATTTAATATTATAAAATTTTGTGTTACATGCACATTCTGTTTAGGTTATGATCCCTGATATGACAGTAGTTGTCCATAGGGGCCATGCATATTAACAGAGATGACAGACCCAGTAGCAAATTTCTTTAGCTATACAGACCTATTAAAATAAGTTATTTCCCTCTCTACCCTCATCTTTTACTGCAGTCTTGAATAAAAGTATCCAAAAGTTGGCATGTGGCCATCACATTTAAAAGAGCAGCCTAGACGATCATTACGATTAAGCACAAGAGCAGTGTAATTCTGTGCTATTGCTGAAGCAGTCACCAAAGGAAAGCAGGAGTCAATTTTCCCTATGCCAGAACAGAAAGTGCTTTCCTTTGCTCTCCCTAAAAAACTAATTTCATACGACTACTTAACATATAAGGAAGAATGTTGAAAACACAAGAGCTGGAATGAAAGTTTTCTTACCTGCTCTGCAGGACTCAGGCTGACAACATACAGAAGCAAGGTTTGTGCATTACAGCTGCGTTATGGTACACAAGACAATAACTGGATCACAGATCAAATGCAGACAATTTTTAAAACCAACAGAAAAATAAGAGAAGATAGCACATGCACACAGGTGGGCAGATAAACCATGGATTCCAACAGCAACGATAATCTCCATGGACGGCCCTTCACACTTGTACAGAATTTCAATAAAGCTTTACCAAAAGAGCAAACATGAAACTTGTACCCACCCAGCTACACGATCTGGACCCCAACTTTAGTGTTCTAGCACCAGCTCCACTCCTGTAAGTATTTATGCAAACGAGCAGTTCATTAGTTTCAGTTGGTCTACTGATGTGACTACAGTTAATAACAGAGCCAAACCTTTCCAGGATGGGACTTAGTGTTAGAAAAAACAAACTTTACAGGTTAGCATTTACAAACACGCTTTAGCCACTCCCATGCATTAACAGCCTATGCATCTTGGGTTTAGTATTTTAAGTTATTATGTAATGTTGAAGCTGTTAGCACAGGTTTTTCTTAACTAAAATGCAGTTTTAAAATATTACAAGCTCACACTCTGTCCTGAGGGTAAAGATTTCCCATCTAACATCTTACATCAATTACGTAAGACTAAAAATAAATACTACTACACATAATGAAACTAAGGTTCCACTTGAACACACTATGGTAGAAATACAATTTCCTTTGTAGCACATGGCCATAGAGGCAAGGTAAGAACTGTTTTCATAAAATGGCTAGAAATCATGTTAAAACCTTGATCCATAGGATCCACGTGGCAAAGCAGGATCTGAAGCAGTTCATTTATAATCAACTCTGGCACTTTTATGTCTGCAACTGCGCAATTGCTATCTCCACCTCATTTACTAAGCCTTTTAATTTTCTTTTTCCTTTTCTCTCCATGCCAGAAAGGAACAAACTCCTATGCAAACCTTCTCTAGACTTACACCATGAAGAATCCTTTAAAACCCTGTAAAACTTCAGTTGTCCAGGAAGTGCAGCAACGCCCAAGCACTAAACTAGTTTTTAAGTTAATAGACAGTTATACAATTTTGTTTATATACATTTTTAAATGCTTGTCTATTTGATTCCCTCTCTTCAGTTCAAAGTCCAAGCACATACGACCCAATGTTATTTCTTGGCAATATAAAAATATTTCCCTAAATTATTTCTGAAACTACTTAGATTTCAACATAAGCTCAACTTTTGCTTGTCCCAACAACATTCTCTCTCTCCCTCTGTGTACGTATGTACACACACCCCACAGATATATGGATTTTACAGAACTATTTACAACATTTGACCTCAAACGTATTGAAATACAAACAAATAATTTCCAGATCAGTTAAGGAAAATAGAAGTTTTTCTTTGTTGAAAGGTATGTTTTTCTTCAATGCAACTGTTCAAAGACCATCTTTCACATAAGTTAAGCTAGAAGGTCATCAGCGTTTCCAAATATAAAAGTTTTGAATCTCCAAAACTTTATACTGGAAAGCCAGAAAGCATATGTGATACAGCACCCTTATGGTTCTTTAACTGAAACACAGCCATTAAAAGAAATTACAAGTGGTAGAACACCAGACACAGCAAAACACAAATACCCAAGGAAACTCAAAACGCCACAACACATTAGCATTTTTCATGACAACCCTTTTTCCTATGTATAACCAGCCTTCTACTCTATCCCCTTGACTGTAGATTATGATGTCTCTTCATGTACTCTAAATGAAATGCAAAGTGCTTTGGTCGTTAGTCAACAACAAAAGCGTTAACATTAAAAGTTGTTTGGTTTGTTGGTTTTTTTCCTTATGGAAGAGTCAAGGCACATTTCCAACACAAATGCGAGCCATCCAGTAATTTTCAAGGCACCATCCTAAATATGTAGGTGTTTGAAGGAGACAAAGTGTTTCATTTAAACACACCTAAACAGACACACATAAACAACTTATTATTACCACAATCTCATTATCAGAAACAGCTGAACCTCACTGAAACTCTCTCTCAAAAACCAGTCCACAGCATGGGAGATTTCCACCTAAACAACTGAAACTATTTCCAAATATTATAAGTAATAAAAACTGAAATCTTATCATAAGCCTTACTCAGCAGACAGTAGCACTACCAGCTCCAACCATGGCAACAGGTCTTACACAAGAAAAAATCTCCTGATACACATCTTGATATACATTCCTTACCACTTGACTTTTCACTCACGCAATATCTTACCAAACCTTGTTTTTCACAGCAGGGACACAATGGCAGCAAAATGTTTTCACAGTGTGACTTGGTAATGCCCAATTCTCCTTGCTGAACAGCTTTGTAAGGTTTATCTGCTTGGGTGCAGTTGTATGCTATTCAAACCCAAATCACCTCTTCTTTATACAGCTGCTAAATACTAAGATATTACATGCAAACAGTAAATAACATGTAACTTCTTTCCTAGATTTTCTAAGAATATTCAAACAAAATGCAACATCTAGTTTACAGAAAAATCCCTTTTACTCAAAGGTGCATTTAGACACAAGATGACCAAATGATTTACCATGGTCCTGGCTCTGCACATATTAGAAGTAGAACCCTGATTACAGTGCTAGCCAGCACACTGCAAGCTACATACTTGCAGCAATTGACTGGAAAAAAAAAAAAATAAATAAAGTAAGATCAGGAAGAGATTTATAGACGTGACCAAAGGAAAAAAATAATTTCACTGCAGGTATTACATATAAAGGGACTGACTGATATGGCAGCATTTCCATTTTTCTCACAGATAAAACAATCACCTTCCAATTTGCAGAAGAGAACTTAAAAGCTATTTCTGAATGGAGAATTAGCAGTTTGGGTTCAATCTTGAGCTAATAAAGGCTGACGAAATAGCAGATTTCTGTTGAGGTAATTCCTCAAATCTACTTAGTTAACACAGCTGAAGAAAATAATAATAATAATAATAATGGATTGCTTCCTTTTAAAAAAGCCACGGATCTCTCTTGATTTGGGCCAAGCTGAAACCCAATTAACTGTTACTTATATTTGAACAGTTTCACTATCATCCCTTACTTCCTCCTCCTCTCCTGAACATGTCCTCTCCATCACAGTGAATCAATCAGAGCCTTCCAATCTCCAGGTATTCAAAATTTCTATTATCTTTTTATAACAGGTATTTCAATTTCAGATCATTTGGGACATTTCTAAAGTGACTGTTGCAATAATTCTTGCATTAATAAGATAAAAATCTTATTTCTTCTTGTCTTCCTGAAAGTCTTGCCTATAAAATTCATCAGGCTTCCTACTTTACTAACTGATAAAGCTCTACTATGAACCTATAAAATTCATCAGGCTTCCTACTTTACTAACTGATAAAGCTGCTACTATGAATTAAAAGATACATTACTCTTTTTCAAGGGTCTTTTGCCATAAAACAGAAGTGATTTTCCTGTCACTGCCTTTAGGTTTTGATGTCACTTTAGTCGGTGTAGTCTGAAAAATAAAGAAAAAAAAACCACCTACGTACAAGTACTTTCCTTTAAAACTGAAAACTTGCTTCATAATCGCCATTTAGCAAATAGAAGAGTAAGAAATCATAATCTAATCACTAGAAAAAACATTTCTGCAGAAGTTTAATATGAACTTAACTGCACACCGTCAAGACATCTGTTGAATGACAAATACTTTCCCTAAATCCTTGCTAGAGATAATTGCCGATCATTGAGATTATTTGACTGAACTAATTACATTTAATGACTTCGTTAATATATTCCACTTCGCATTTACTTTATACAAGGCAAGAAAAACGCTCGCGATAAACATTCGTCCGCGTCTCCTCTTCAAAGGAAAACATTCACTAAACCATCAATACCATGAAGCGTATTTTTTACAGGTGATTATGTAACTTGTTTCTTTCTGAGCGCTACTGCAGCATGTTTTACTGTCAATTTACGGAAAACGAAAGCATTACCGCTGGGAGGGCGAGGGGTGGAAGGTAGGACTTCTTCCAGGATTTCTTTCACCGATGTGAAAGGATCTCCCCGTCCCAACCGTTTTTGGAGCAGGCACTAGTCGCGATTCGTCACTGACTACCGCGGCATCTGCCGGGGGCGACCCGCCCGCTCCCCGGGCAGGGACAGTCCCAGACCCGCGCTGCGCCAACACCGACGCCGCAGACAGCCTACCCCTACCTCAGGGGCCGAGACAGCGCAGGAGAGAGCCGGGTTATACAACTCCTCTCCAGCCAGGAGCCAGGGCTCGGCGGCCCCACGCACCTCGCCCACCGCCTAACTTTTCCGAGCAGACGCCCGCATTCGCTCTGCCCCGCTGCCCACCGCCTCCCGCAGCGGCTCAGCCCAGTTACCCCCGCCACATTCACCCTGCGGGACCCCGATACCGTATGTCTAGCAAGCCCCGCTGCCGTGCTCGGAGCAGGTGCGCAGCGCCGCGCTGCTCCGGCTCCCCTTCCCCTGGCCGCCAGCCGGGCTC